TGTTGATTTATTTCTCTACCTAAATTCTAAGTGGCTTCTCAATTTATGGATATGTGACCATTTCAAGAGGAATGCATTCGTTCATTTTGTTCGGATGTGAAGACTATATGTTGCAATTTTCATTCCGTTGGATTCAGCTTCAATATTTGTCTATCAATGTGCTAATAGATGTCAACCTCTTCAGGATGGCTCCTCCAACGCGCACGACTCTGAATCCTGATCCGCCACCACCTCCACCTCCTCCGGAGGCATGGCAAGCTGTGATGGCCGCAACCAATGCAAACACACAATTGATCATGCAAATTCTTCAAGAGAGCAATCAAGGCAACCAAGGGAACCAAGGCAACAATCAGAATCACTTTGCTACACTCAACCAGTTCCTTGCTAACGAGCCAAAGACTTTCAGCAATTGTGTTGAGGCAACCAATGCTGACGATTGTCTTGTGGATCTGTGCAAGCATTTCGAGTGCAGTAACGTTAGGCATGCGGACTTTGTCATTTTCGCTTCCTTCCAACTCAAAGATCAAGCTGCAGAATGGTTCCAGCAGTACAAGGATTCCAGAGGTGGACGTGTTATCACTTGGGATGAATTCCGTCAAGATTTCCGAGCTCATCATATTCCTGAGAGCGTGGTTGAAAGCAAGCGTGAGGAATTCCTAAACCTGAAGCAAGGCTCTTTGTCTGTCTATGACTACAACAAATTGTTCCAGAAGCTCGCCCGCTTTACCAAGCAGGACGTACCTGATGAGAAGAGCATGATATACCAGTTCAGGGGTGGTCTCAGAGAAGAAATTCAGCTAGCTCTTGTTCTCTTTGAGACCTTGAGATACGATGAGTTCTACAACATGGCATTGAAGCAAGAGGCCGCTCAGTTAAGGTGTGATGCTTCCAAGAAGCGAGTCAGAGATGCTACTCCCTCTTCCTCTACTCAAGTGGCCAAGCAGCAGAAGTATTGGCTTCCTCCTCCTCCGTTCCGTCAGCCGTATCAGCAGAAGAGCAAAGGTGGCAGTGGTTCTTCCCACCCACCCAACCCTGGCTTTCAGAACAAGACTTCGTCTCAAGCTCCAAGATCGAGTGCTCCGTATCACCGTCCGCTTTCAGAGGTCATGTGCAACAAGTGCCAACAGAAAGGTCACTATGCCAACAAGTGTTTCAACCATAGGCGTCTTCCTCCTCCTCCTCCTGTCAGATCGGCAAGTACAGCTGTGGTCAAGCATAACCCTAAGCATGCCAAGGTCAATTTGTTGAATGCAGCTCGGGCAGAGGACTCGTCAGATGTCATCATGGGTAACCTTCCAGTTAACAATATTCCTGCTAAAGTTCTTTTTGACACGGGTGCATCGCATTGTTTCATCTCGAGACCGTTTTCATCTAAGCATGGTTTGGCTTTGCAAATTTTGCCTAGTCCATTAGCAGTTGTCTCTCCCGGTAGGCGCATGCATGCAAACTCCATTGCTCCGGATGTTACTATCACCTTGGGTGACTACAAGTTTCTATCTTCTCCTACGGTTCTTGGTAACTCGGATATTGATCTTATTCTCGGGATGGATTGGCTTTCTAAGCACAAGGCTCAGCTTGATTGTGCAGCCAGGCAGATTCAGTTGACTCATTCGTCTGAGGATGTAATTGTCTTTGCCGCTCGGGATAATACCATCCGTCTGTTTTCTCTCAATGAGAAGGGTGAACTCGATGCCATCTCACAAATTCCAGTCGTTTGCGAATATCAAGACGTCTTTCCAGAAGAGCTTCTAGGAATGCCTCCGCACCGGCCAGTTGAATTCGTTATTGATCTTGACCCTGGCACGGAACCTGTGTGCAAGCGTCCTTACAAGCTCGGACCTGAAGAGTTGAAGGAGCTGAAGAAGCAACTCGATATTCAAGAGAAAATGGGTCTCATCCGGCCTAGTTCTTCTCCGTGGGGTTGTGGTGTTCTTTTTGTGAAGAAGAAGGATGGAACGGACCGGCTTTGTGTTGATTACCGTCCATTGAACAAGAAGACCATCAAGAACAAATACCCACTTCCCAACATCAATGAGTTGTTCGAACAACTTAAAGGTGCTCAAGTATTCTCCAAGCTTGATCTCCGTATGGGTTATCATCAGATTCGAATCCGTGAACAAGATATTCCCAAGACGGCTTTCAGGACAAGCTATGGTTCATACGAATACACTGTCATGTCTTTTGGCCTCGTCAACGCTCCTCCGACTTTCTCTCGCATGATGAACTTCATCTTCAACGCCTACACCAATGACTTCGTTTTGGTCTATCTCGACGACATTCTGGTTTTCTCCAAGAACAAGGAAGATCATGCCAAGCACTTGCGTTTGGTGCTCGATAAGCTCAGGGAACATCAGTTCTACGCCAAGTTCTCCAAGTGTGAATTTTGGCTCGATGAGGTTCTTTATCTTGGTCATATCATCTCTGCCAAGGGCATTGCCGTGAATCCTGAGAAGGTGTCTGCAATTGTGAATTGGGAACCTCCTCAGAACGTGAAGCAACTCCGTAGCTTCCTCGGTCTCGCAAGCTATTGCCGAAGATTCGTTGAAAACTTTTCTAAGATCGCGAAGTCTCTCTCTAATCTTCTCCAGAAGCACGTCAAGTACGTTTGATCTCCGGAGTGTGACATTGCTTTCAACACTTTGAAAGAGAAATTGATCACTGCTCCAGTTCTGACTCCGCCTGATGAATCCAAACCGTACGAGGTCTTTTGTGATGCCTCTCTCCAAGGTCTTGGCGCAGTATTGATGCAAGAGAAGAAAGTTGTTGCTTATACCTCTCGCCAGTTGAAGCCAAATAAGAAGAACTACCCCACTCATGATCTCGAGTTGGTGGCAGTTGTGCATACTCTTTTGACTTGGAGACATCTCTTATTGGGAAGAAAAGTGGACATTTTCACTGATCACAAGAGTCTCAAGTACATCTTCACTCAGCCTAATCTCAACCTCAGGCAAACTCGATGGGTCGAAATGATTCAAGAGTATAATCCGAGTATCGAGTATACTCCAAGCAAGGCCAATGCGATTGCTTATAACATCAATACATACTTATAAACAACAACACACCACATTTTATAAACATCAACACTTTCTTGTAAACAACAACACATCAAAACATCAGCACAGTCATAAACAGTAGTATATAGTCATGCATTTTTAATTTGACAAACTCATGACAAAGGGTTGAGGTAATGTTTCTGTATTTGTTAGACTTTATAAAGGCACATGGGTATGCGCGTATGGGTTATATGATCTTATACCCGTACCCGCTCTATCCGGTGGGTTTGAGATTTCCCTATTTACATACTTGTGGGAAATTTTTTGCCTCATACCCTTACCGTAATGGGGTTTTTACCCACGGGGTACGTGGATAATGGGTACCCATTGCCATCCCTACTCCTACCTTATCTCCAAGAGAGACGGTTTGCCCTCAAGTCTTGTACTCAATATATACTCGTCTCGAGGCTCAATAATACATCCATCACATTCCACCAATCTTCTTCACCTATCCCTTCTACTACCTTTGTCCTGGTTTATTGGTTCCCTTTGTAATTTGTGCTAAATTTTGACAAAAGATTTAACTGATAAGATGTTAGTGCATATCAACAAAGATTATATCGTTGGATTCGTAGTTGAACATAGTTTTAATGATATAATCTTTTATGACATGCATGAACATTTTGTTAGTTAAATTTATTATCAAAATTTGCCACAGAATACAACGAGAACCAATAAACAAGGACGGAGGTAGTAACATTGAAGCATTCTCATCCACAGGTTTTGCTGTTTTGGAAGGCGAGAAATGAAGTTATCCTCACCCACAGGTGACACCATGTCAGCAGACACGGGCGGCTCGTGGACATTGACCATTGATGCACAGCTCATCCGCTGCACTCGTCACGGGAACTCAGTTTGCTGCATAAATTCAGGCCACAAGGTGGGAGCATTTTCGTTCGCCAACATGGCAAGATTCCTCTCGTGCTTGCTGGCTCAGGCTCTCCTGATCCTACTAGCAACGTCGGTCACTTCAAAGGCCATAGAGGAAGGCCGAGCTCACTCCTGCTACACGCCACCGGCGCCAGCTCCGGCGTCTTCTGGCCAACGTGGCCAAAGCCGCCAAACCCCAACAGCGCCACTGGGACCTCTTGGTCTGAGATCACCGCTCGGAGCTCCGCCCCCGCCAGAATCAGCGCCGCACCGTCACTACCGGAGGGCGGCGCCACTCGAACCGCCACCTCCGCCTCCGCCACCACCACTCTCCCCGTCGCCAGCCCACCACCGCAACGATCTTAATTAGCAGTAGTATCACATGGGTGCAGCACTCCCACTTCCCCGCATTACCAGGATCACCACAGATCTGCAGTTTGGAGTTTACTTTCAGTCTTAGCCAATCTTCAATCAGCAATGTGACGATATGAATTTTTCAGTTCCCTTTGATTCGTGAGAAATTTTCCCAGCACGTGTTGATATATATCGAACTGTTCCATGTGAATTCTTTGACACTTATCTCTCTCCAAGTGTTGTCAGGAAGAAATCTTTGGATGTCTACAGAGCTCAGTCGCTGGTTGCATTGACAAACAAGCCATGTGCGCCATCTAATAAGACTGATCGTAACGAGAGTATCATAAACGGTATCATGCATGCTAACTAGATTTTTTAGATAATGTGACATACAATTAAATGAGGAAAGAAAGGGTGTAGTATCATATCATGATACCGTATCATATTAAATATTGTATTACTTTGTGTCATGCATAACAATTAATAAGACAACCTAAGATACAACTTATGATACTATACATTACGAATGTAGTATCATATACTAATATCATATGCATGATACTAGTATATAATATTCCCCATTACAACCAGCTTAACAAAGCCACGCGCCCCAAGATTTCCCAAATAAATGCAAATTCGTCAACCACCCTAGGTTTTCAGTATAAGTTCATATCATCTCTGTAAGAGTAGCAATGTTCATTTCCTTTTTCTCTTGCGTCCAAGATGAGGCTGTTCTTCAAGCTCTTCGCCGTCTTGGCCATCATGGCTGCTCTGTCGGCCACAAATGTGCCGTCGCCAGTTGGTGTGTGGGCGAGGACGCCGGGGAGAGCGCCACCTTCGCCAACGCCGTCCGCGCTCAGGGGTCGCGTGAAGCCGATTAATCCCGCGCCACAGCCTCCGCCACCAGCGGAGATGGGTAGAGTGCGGCCATTGTGTTCACCGCCTCCGCGACCATCACCAAATCACCAGCGAAGCGTCGGCTCTACGCACTTTCCTCCACCACCATTACGGTGCCACTAGATCTATGTTTCGACTTAATCTTGATCTGTAAAGATCATGTTATTGGTTCTCTTTACCAAGAACACTTCTGTGTAACGCTTGTGTAAACATCGTGTTGTGAAACATGCTGAGATTCATGTTTTACCTTTCCTATTATCTTCACAAATACTCCCTCCATTCATTGTTATAAGATATTCTAGTTTTCTTAAATGACGTGTATATAGACATGTTTTAGTGTATTAGTTTACTCATTTATGTCTGTATCTAGTCTATAATAAAATATTCAAAAGGTGTTATAATAGTGATAAGAATGAACGGAAATAGTACATTGTAATCGTATGTTTATGTTTAGAAAAATGTCTACGTCTGGTATGCTTACGACAGTAGACACCTGTGTTTCTGAAATTTGACTTAACACATGACGTGCATTGTTTTTACGACAGTAGACGGTACGCACAGTAGACACCCGTGTGTCCGAAATTTGACTTAACACATGATGTGCATTGTTTCTACGATAGTAGACACTCGTATATCCGAAATTTGACTTAACACATGACTTAACACATGATAGATTGTAATTGAATGTTTTTCACGTGCAAGGACTAAATTTAAGATAAAAACTCATTTGCAGATCTAATCTATGTAGTACTACCTTCGTCTGGGTTTAAAAAGCCCAAGAGCGAAGACTCTAATACCAAGATAGTTTATTAACTAGATCATGGATGACGCGCGCGTTCATCCATTTCTTCGATATAATGATAGGAATTATGTAAACATGTGGACACATAAAAGATGGATCTATACTACTATTAAACAAGCAAATATATTCATTGCTAAGTACACACAGCCTTACGTACACACAACAACACGAACCAATTACAGCCGCATGATCAGCGACACTTAATTTAATCTAACCATTAAAATTATATTAACCCACGTCACAAGTGCGTTTAGCCATTTGTCTAGGCGGACGAAAACTCTGTCGAGAAAGTTCCCCGCCCCGCATCCCGTTCGTGTATCCTATAAACTAGGAAACAAACACCGCGAGAATAAATAAGGCGTTCGAAAAAGAGAAAGAAAATAACTACCATGCATGTGGAGGAGCAATCAGTGAAAACTTACCACGCAGTAGAACAGGGTCGCATGCACCAGGTAATTATTGTGCTCCCGCTAATCAAGGTAGAAAACGAAAAAAAATTAAAGCAAAACCATCTTGGATATTCGTCCTGCAAATACGACGCCTTAATACGAACAAAGGCGTGGCCCAGCGGCTCTTCACGTTGCTCACCGGTGCAGCGAACATGTTCGCCACCGACGTCCACGCTGCCGTGGGCAGGAGCCCGGACCGTTTGCGCTACTGGCACATCTTCTCGACATGGTATTCCACGGCCGACGCGGTAAAAAAATGATCTCTTCATTCAATTGGACAAGAACCTTTCCGCCGCTGTTGAGGAAGTCTTCAAGCTTCTCGGTCATGCGTGCGATGCCTTCTCCTCCGGCCCCTACGACGCCGCAGTCGTCTCCCATCGTGCAGGATTAGTTCCGATCGCGCCACTCGGCGAAGCCGCTCGCGTCCGAGGCGCCGTCGTCTGTCCGGCGAAAAGAAGAGTAGGTCTCGGCCGGCGTGCATGCAGAGAAACCTGGATGGTCAGACGAACTCAGACCGCCGCCGGAATCACTATAGACGTACGTCAGTACGTGTACGGCTCCTTCCATGACACGCGGAATTTTTCCTCGAGGGCAGGAGGCTCGCCAGGTCGGCCATACGGCACGCGCACATCGTCGACGTCGTCAGGATGGATACAACACATTCAAGCTATACTCCCCCTCTTCGTCTTCTCCATCTTCATTACAGTGGAATCTAGCTAGCTGCACTAACGTGTCCCCAGCGGCCCCGCCTCCATGTCTGGTGAGAAGAAACCCTACAATATGCATGCATCTTGTCAATCCCCTCTTATATTCTCAGCCATATAGCAACGTTTGAGGCAGGAATTGCAATTACTTTAGCCAGTGGGATCTATTATGCGAGTGAACGGACATGCCATAGGGCACACGTGAGTCCCCTTGGTGCTCTTTGTATTACTATTGTTATTTTTCTGTTGGTTCTAATCTTCTTGATCCTTTTCGCAGGATAGTACCGTGCATGTTTGTGATACTTCTATGATACATCCGTTTCGGTGACAACTAATATGGGACGGAGGGAGTATAACCCATCTGTGTGTGTAACCTTTTGAGAAAGGGCAATAGAAGTTTATAGTGACACAATTGAAAACTATAAGGACGTATTGCCAAGAAGAGCATGTTGTGCAATATAACAAAAAGTACACAGTTATGTGTTTGGAGTTCTTAGGGAGGGGGGGGGGGATATTGAGCTGGATGGACATTTGTCAGCAGTGACAAACTTAGATTGGGGATGTGACGAGGTGCATATGCAGGATACATTGCAATGCATGGGCAGCTAACTTGATCTGCTATAAGTGTGAGTAATCTCATTTGAATATATTACCATCCATTCAATAGATTTGTACTCACTTTATTGTTCGGCATAGTTGAATTGTCTGTGTCAAAAATGCATATGATTTTATTTTGTATGCTCACCCTAGATGCCACCACACAATTACAACTTATAATAACCGGTTCTTTTAGAATTAAATGGAAGTACATACTGATTTCAGCTTCTATGTAAATGTTTGATAGATTCCCCTTCAATCTGAATCACAAGAAATGGAGAGTTCACCTAGAGTTCGTGGAAGAAATCTACATGCCATCATGAGGAAAGAGGGAACAACCTGGTATGCGATACCGAAGAGTGTAGATTGTATTCTATTTTCTTCTTTAAACAGGTCTTTTTTTTGACCAATTTATGTTGCATACTGAAACTGTGTTGTACTATAATCATGTTGTTCTAAGAAGTATCAAGCTGGAATTAAGTTGTCGACTGACTTGATATGTGTAACAGTGGGGGTTTGGAGGATTAATTAGTATATTTAAGCCCGATGATTCAATGTGTTCAACAATGGGGTTTTGGAGGATTAACTAGTAGATTTAATGTTCATCGTTTACTACCTATAGATACTGAATGGATGAAACAATATATTATTATTTTATGAGGCAATGTGACCACCATGGTGTGCAATTTACCTAAGAATAGATCCTAAGTGATATTTTTCTCGGACGTGCGGTGCACGTGCCAGCTTAGTAGTTTAGTTTGCATGAACATGTTTCTTGAGGGTGTTCTGTGTTTTATAAGTCATTTCAAAATGTTTGAAACAAAAATGCTAAAGCATTGAAACTGGATATCAATACCAGGTACAATACTAAGACTACTTATGCCCACCAGATGAAGGCACTTGAAGAAAGAGAAGTAGAAACATCATTAGAGGTCTTGGCTCAAACCCACTTCATCGTCCTAAGAAAGCAAAGTTAGGACATCAGCCAAATATTATAGAGTTTCAAACATCACAAGTGACATATGATATAAAAACAAATATAATAATAATGCTTCACTGATAAAAATATGAAAATTAAATAGTTGAGATTCATTTCACGGGGTATTGAATAGTTTGAGAAAATTTAAGGGAGAGAACAGAGATATTCCAGTGATGCTTCTTCTTTCCATGACGTTATTTCCAAAGGATTTTATCGACCCACAAAATAGTAATCCCACGGTAACTTATATGGCATCCCAAGCACAAAATAATCTATGAATGCCAATGATAGAATGAACTGTGCTAGATCTGAATGAGAAAACTATGAATTAGTCTATCCTTGAGGAACTACATCAACTCCAAAAATAAAAAATATGCAAAGAAAGTCATTCATATATTCATTCAGCAACAATCATCTGCAGCCTAGTCAGACTTACGTCAAACAACTTGCGTACACAAATTTAAAAGCTGCAAAAATTGAACTGCAGGGGCACAAATTGTTGAATATAAATCTGAATGGCTATCGGTTCAATATGAAGTGGGAAATCCTTTCTGTCGATGCCCTTCAAAATTCTTAAGATTAAATGAATTAGATTAGAGAAAATAGGATACGGGAATTTATGTACCTTGCTATGCTGATGCTAAGGATAGATGAGATGCCTCGTGTGATGACTTCCCAAGGGCTTCCAAGGGCGGAGACCAATCATGATGTAGTTTGTGAGATATATATTAAGGTCACCATACATGTTCAGCAACGGAGTTTTAACAGGCGGCGAGCTCATCGACTGCGCTCAGTGCTCGCGGCGTGCAGCCTGCGCTTCTTGTTGGCCTAATAGTAAAAGACCTTACCAAAGAAGAGAAAAAACTTTATAGAACGGAGATGTAGCTCACACCTAATAACTAAGGTATGTGTCGGCCTTGCCACTCTCCTACAGACTACATTACACAGTGGTCAAGAAATTCATCTTCGATTAGCACTCCATGTTAACTAACCTGATTGCCATTGCAAATAGTCAACCCATCAATATCTCTTCCAATAAAATTCCAGAACCAGCCTTGAATAGTACCCAAACAATATACCATAACCTGCAGCAAAAAGAGAGAAGATAAAACAGATTTAGGACGAGTAGGACTGATCAGATGGAAAAGGTAACGGGGAGGAAAAAAAATATGCAGATAGCAGCCTGGTTTAGAAGGCCAGTTGACATGGTATTGAGGGACGGACATAGCTCATATACATAGCAGAGCAAAATTGTACCGCACCTCCACCATCCGTCACCATCGCTCCCTCGACTGCCATTAATTGATATATACAAAACAAGCGAGCACTTTACTCCTCGCTTGAAAAACGGCGGATGAACTTCCTTGCATCGGCCGGTGAGATCCTCTCCGCATTGATTGGCGAGCCCCACACTGTATGCACAAGTGATCTGAGCAATCGTGGGGCATAAAACCATGGATAGTAAAACATGCAAGGATTAGGTATGGGGTAATTATCTGCTCAAAAGCCATATGGGATTATGAGTTGCTGAAGTAAAATATAAAAAAATCGATTAACAGTCTCAAAGATATGCCCATGTCAATTGATCACAA